CCCTAAAGGACGAACCAAGTCCAAAATGCACGTTTTCCGGGGCCGAAACGTCCCTTCTGAAATCCTACAAAAAGCTTGCCGCTGCTACTGCCACGGCCGCTGCCCTGGCTGCTGCCGCAGCTCCCGGCAGCAAAACACCATGGCCCTAAAGGACGGACCGAGTCCAAAATGTGCGTTTCTTATTGCTACTCCTGCTGTTGGAGTCACTGCTGCCGCTGCTACTGCCACGGCTGCTGCTCTGGATGCTGCTGCAGCTCCCGGCAGCAAAACACCATGGTCCTAAAGGACGAACCGCTTGCCATTCTTAGAGATTACAAGGTGGTGCCCCCCCAGTTATAGCTTGCTTTAAGAACCATAGTAACTAGATGTATCTACCATAAACATCCATAAACACCCATAAGCTGTTGGTGCTGAAATTATCCTTTTTTTCCTTTTTAAGACTGCTTTGGCTGCTGCCGCAGCTCCCGGCAGCAAAATACAATGGCCCCAAAGATCCTAAAGGACGAACCGGGTCCAAAATGTGCGTTTCTTACTGCTACTGCTGCTCTTGGAGCCACTGCTGCCGCTGCTACTGCCACGGCCGCTGCTGCAGCTCCCGGCAGCAAAACACCATCGCCCTAAAGGACGAACCGAGTCCAAAACATACGTCCTGCGGTCGGAACGTCCCTTCACAAAAAAGCTTGCTGCTGGTGCGGAAAGTATCATTGTTTTACAATTTTATTAATCAGTTTTTTACCTTACTGCTACTGCTGCTGCTGGACTCACATGCTGCCGCTGCTACTGCCACGGCCGCTGCTCTGGCTGCTGCTGCAGCTCCCGGCAGCAAAACACCATGGCCCTAAAGGACGAACCGAGTCCAAAATATACGTTTCCCGGGGCCGGAACGTCCCTTCTGAAATCCTACAAAAAGCTTGCCGCTGCTACTGCCACGGCCGCTGCTCTGGCTGCTGCCGCAGCTCCCGGCAGCAAAACACCATAGCCCTAAAGGACAAACCGAGTCCAAAATATATGTTTCCCGGGGCCGGAACGCCCCTTCTGAAATCCTACAAAATCCTACAAAAAGCTTGCTGTTGGTGCGGAAATTATCATTTTCCCGCTTTTTAAGAGCCGCTGCCACTGGCCACGGCTGCTGCTCTGGCTGCTGCCGCAGCTCCCGGCAGCAAAACACGATGGCCCTAAAGCACGAACCGAGTCCAAAATATACGTTTCCCGGGGCGGAACGTCCCTTCTGAAATCTCCTACAAGAAGCTTGCCGCTGCTACTGCCAGCCGCTGCTCTGGCTGCTGCCGCACCTCCCGGCAGCAAAACACAATGGCCCTAAAGAACACTGCTGCTGCTGCTGCTGCTCTTGCTGTTCCTGCTGCTGTATTGAAGCTGCATCTGCTGCTGCTGCTGCTTCTGGTGGTGGTGATGCTGGTGCTCGCATCTGCTGATGCTGCTGCTGCTGCTCCTGCCGTGCCATGAACCAACCTCTAAGGCAAGAAACCAACAGCCAGACATCTTTTTCGAAACCCACTCGAAACAGCAAAACACCACCTAATTTCGTGCCAAAAATGACGCGAAATCATCTGCAATTGTTCCTGCTGTTCCTGCTGCTAGATTGCTGCTTCTGGTGGTGGTGTGCCTAAACTTGCTTGTCTTTGCTTGCTGCAGCTCCCGGCAGCAAAACACCATGGCCCTAAAGGACGAACCGAGTCCAAAATATACGTTTCCCGGGGCCGGAACGTCCCTTCTGAAATCCTACAAAAAGCTTGCCGCTGCTACTGCCACGGCCGCTGCTCTGGCTGCCGCAACTCCCGGCAGCAAAACACCATGGCCCTAAAGGACAAACCGAGGCCAAAATATATGTTTCCCGGGGCCGGAACGTCCCTTCTGAAATCCTGCAAAATCCTACAAAAAGCTTGCTGTTGGTGCGGAAATTATCACTTTCCCGCTTTTTAAGAGCCGCTGCTACTGCCACGGCCGCTACTCTGGCTGCTGTCGCAGCTCCCGGCAGCAAAACACCATGGCCCTAAAGGACGAACCGAGTCCAAAATATACATTTCCCGGGGCCGGACCGGGGCCGGAACGTCCCTTCTGAAATCTCCTACAAGAAGCTTGCCGCTGCTACTGCCATAGCCGCTGCTCTGGCTGCTGCCGCGCCTCCCGGCAGCAAAACACAATGGCCCTAAAGGACGAACCGAGTCCAAAATGTACGTTTCTTAACGCCACTTCTGAAACCCGACTAAAACTGAGACTTTTCAGCTTTTTACGCAGGTTTGCCACATCTTGCAGCCAACCAGCCCGCCAATCACAAAAGGCATGGCTTTGTACCACAAAGCTTGTTGCTGGTGCGGAAAGTATCATTGTTTTACAATTTTATTAATCAGTTCTTTACCTTACTGCTACTGCTGCTGCTGGACTCACATGCTGCCGCTGCTACTGCCACGGCCGCTGCTCTGGCTGCTGCTGCAGCTCCCGGCAGCAAAACACCATGGCCCTAAAGGACGAACCGAGTCCAAAATATACGTTTCCCGGGGCCGGAACGTCCCTTCTGAAATCCTACAAAAAGCTTGCCGCTGCTACTGCCACGGCCGCTGCTCTGGCTGCTGCCGCAGCTCCCGGCAGCAAAACACCATGGCCCTAAAGGACAAACCGAGTCCAAAATATATGTTTCCCGGGGCCGGAACGTCCCTTCTGAAATCCTACAAAATCCTACAAAAAGCTTGCTGTTGGTGCGGAAATTATCATTTTCCCGCTTTTTAAGAGCCGCTGCCACTGGCCACGGCCGCTGCTCTGGCTGCTGCCGCAGCTCCCGGCAGCAAAACACGATGGCCCTAAAGCACGAACCGAGTCCAAAATATACGTTTCCCGGGGCGGAACGTCCCTTCTGAAATCTCCTACAAGAAGCTTGCCGCTGCTACTGCCACAGCCGCTGCTCTGGCTGCTGCCGCACCTCCCGGCAGCAAAACACAATGGCCCTAAAGAACACTGCTGCTGCTGCTGCTGCTGCTGCTCTTGCTGTTCCTGCTGCTGTATTGAAGCTGCATCTGCTGCTGCTGCTGCTTCTGGTGGTGGTGATGCTTGTGCTCGCATCTGCTGATGCTGCTGCTGCTGCTCCTGCCGTGCCATGAACCAACCTCTAAGGCAAGAAACCAACAGCCAGACATCTTTTTCGAAACCCACTCGAAACAGCAAAACACCACCTAATTTCGTGCCAAAAATGACGCGAAATCATCTGCAATTGTTCCTGCTGTTCCTGCTGCTAGATTGCTGCTTCTGGTGGTGGTGTGCCTAAACTTGCTTGTCTTTGCTTGCTGCAGCTCCCGGCAGCAAAACACCATGGCCCTAAAGGACGAACCGAGTCCAAAATATACGTTTCCCGGGGCCGGAACGTCCCTTCTGAAATCCTACAAAAAGCTTGCCGCTGCTACTGCCACGGCCGCTGCTCTGGCTGCCGCAGCTCCCGGCAGCAAAACACCATGGCCCTAAAGGACAAACCGAGTCCAAAATATATGTTTCCCGGGGCCGGAACGTCCCTTCTGAAATCCTACAAAATCCTACAAAAAGCTTGCTGTTGGTGCGGAAATTATCATTTTCCCGCTTTTTAAGAGCCGCTGCTACTGCCACGGCCGCTACTCTAGCTGCTGCCGCAGCTCCCGGCAGCAAAACACCATGGCCCTAAAGGACGAACCGAGTCCAAAATATACATTTCCCGGGGCCGGAACGTCTCTTCTGAAATCTCCTACAAGAAGCTTGCCGCTGCTACTGCCACAGCCGCTGCTCTGGCTGCTGCCGCGCCTCCCGGCAGCAAAACACAATGGCCCTAAAGGACGAACCGAGTCCAAAATGTACGTTTCTTAACGCCACTTCTGAAACCCGACTAAAACTGAGACTTTTCAGCTTGTTACGCAGGTTTGCCACATCTTGCAGCCAACCAGCCCGCCAATCACAAAAGGCATGGCTTTGTACCACATGCGCAACGGCAAAACACCACCTAATTTCGTGCCCAAAACGTAGCAAAGGAACCCTAAAAAGGGGGCCAAACGCCACTTCTGAAACCCGACTAACTCCTTCTGTTCAAAAGACAGCCCCCGGATGGGAAAAATGTGTTTCCAAGCTCAGAAACGGCGCCTCCGCCACGCCCAAACAGCAGGGCCCTAAAGGGCGAAAAGACAGCTCCTTCTGTTCAAAAGACAGCCCCCGGATGGGAAACATGTGTTTCCAAGCTCAGAAACGGCGCCTCCGCCACGCCCAAACAGCAGGGCCCTAAAGGGCGGACCGGGCCTGCCGGCAACGGCCCCAACGGCCTAACGTTGCTTTCTGAACCTACAAGAAAAGTAGCCGTCTTCGAGCTTTCCAAGCTCAGAAACGGCGCCTCCGCCACGCCCAAACAGCAGGGCCCTGAAGGACGGACCGGGCCTCCCGACAACGGCCCCAACTGCCTAACGTTGCTTTCTGTTGCTGTTGCTCTTGCTGTTGCTGCCATAAAATAAAATTAAAATAGAATCCTGCTGCCTGCTGCCTGCTGCTGCCTGCTGCTCCTGCCTGCTGCTGGCTGCTGCCTGCTCCTGCCTGCTGCTGGCTGTTGCTGGCTGCTGCTGGCTGCTGCTGGCTGCTGCTGGCTGCCTAACGCCGGCTGCTGCTGGTTGCTGCTGCCGGATGCTGCCTGCCAGACACCTACTGCTGCCTGCTGCTGGCTGCTGCTGGCTGGTGCGGGCTGCTGCTGGCTGCTGCTGGCTGCTACCTGCTGCCTGCTGCCTGCTGCTGCCTGCTGCTGCCTGGTAGTAAAAGTAGCAGTGCAGCATCTCTTCTTCCCTTACGCGCTCCCCCTTGCATCGGCCGGGGTCAGCGAATTATTATTATTCTTTCCTGGCAGCTGTGTCATAAACTCTTTTTCCCTTACGCACTCCCCCTTGCGTCTGCCGGGGTCGGCGGATATAGTTGTACCATGTTGTACCGGATTGCAAGCAGAAGAATAGCAGAAGTGCCAGTTGTTTGACCGAAGAATGCGTTGTGACAGGGGGCAGCAGCACATGCCATTGCAGTGATCTTTAGCCAAGCAGCAGGCCTTTTGCTTAGCTTATCAATCGCTTGAGACTTTGCTCTAGATTCACAAGATTGTCCCTGCAGGGTTTTCCAGCATGTAAGGTAGTTAGAAAATAGAAACAAATCGATAAACTCGAGACTTAGGTGATGAAAGGGAAGAAGCCGAGGCTGAAGTGCTCTACCGACAGGCTCATTAGAACAGACAAGAGAATGAAAACAAAAACCAAGTAAACTTGTCAAGCGGACTAAGCTGACTAAGCTGACCATCAAACGTCGGCAAAGGGTCTCAGCATTTTGCGCAGATGCCTGGGGTGAGAGCCTTGGAACTCACAACTGCTGCCGGACCTGCCGGTGTCTGGAAACAGCTCCAGCCCAGGCCTGGTCACGCAGACACTTTGCACTGCCTGAACAATCTAGCCCTGTGCATGGCCGTGCCATCCCTAGCTGCTGAACATTTAGAACATTTAGAACATTTAGGAGCAGAGGTCATGCCTCGGGAAATAACGTTCTGTTTTGCCTAAGGACCAGGGCAAGATTCAGCAAGCCGAACAGTTGCTGCGCACTCTCCTCAAGGTTTCCATTTGCATCCATTTGCAGACCAGCCTCTTTGAAACTTGGCTTTCGAGGTCGCACTGTTGCTGGAATGGAGATGGTGCTTGCACCGACGTCAGATCCTTTGGCAATGATGCGGCCGCAGTTTGTCGTTGCAGTCTGATGCTCCAAATGGATCGAAATGGTCAAAGCTCTAAGGCATCCGCGACCAATTCAAGCTCTCAGCAACTTGGCATGCTGCTGGTACCTCAATTTCAGACTTTCAGGGCCAGGACAAAAAACAGCAAATACTGGCAAATACTGAGGTTTGGCCGAACAGGGCAAGGTGGAAGAGGTCAGATGATGTCACATGATGTCAAAGGGTAAGTTTCGAGATGTTTCTGTGGTAGCAGAAGTGTTGGCCAAAGCTTTGGACTTCCGGAAACTGTGCAGGCCGAAACCAATCACCGGCGAGCGTTTGAGAACGCCAAGAAAAGATTGGGCCAAGCGCTGAAGATTCTGTTCAGATATGTTCATATTTTTGTATGCTTGGGTCCTGTGGCTGTTTCACGTACTCAAATAATGAGCTGGAATATGAGGTTGGCAGCACCCTGAAACTTCTGCATGTGCACAAAGTCGCCGGCTCGGGCACATCGACATTCACAACCTTTCATGATTCTGTTTGACGTGCTGAATACTGAATGATTTGAATGTAATATAATATAATTAATCGAATGATATATATATATATACACATATACACACATATATATATATATATAATGATATACAGCATATACTGTGTACTTCTGAGGCCTGGCGCAATTTCTGACCTCTTGTGGCCGTTGCACAGAGGCGAAGCGATGCAAAGCGTGCCTTGCAGAGTTTCCGTATTCGTCTTCCCATGGCAGGCAGCATTGCTCGAACTCCAAGCGGACCAGCTTGGAAGGCGTCCGCCATCCTCCACTGCTTTCATTGCTTCCATTGCTTTCCGCATGATGAAATGATGCATTCATTGTTTTTTTTTTGCGTGTGACTGCGGAGCAGGCCTTGCTGGAAGCGAGGGCGGACATGAGATTGAAGTCTCACTTTGGATGAGAAGAACTCATCAGTTGGCGAGTCCAACTCAGGAGATTCCCTCTCGTGTATAGGCTGCATCGGGGGAGCAGCAACCGGTTGAGTCATGCCGAGATGCGATTTCCCTCGGAGGCTCTGTAAATGACACAGGAGGCCAGGCCATGCCAAGCCAGGCCTGCACCTGCAACGCCCCCACCCGACAAAGTCGTGGTGCTCTGTAAATGCACCTCTCCACGACAAAGTCGTAGAGCTTCACAAGGTGAAACAACACAAAAGTCACAAAAGTCACAAAAGTCACAATCACCTTCAAACAATCCCTCTCTATACAGACTCTATATCATTCTATATCTCTATGAATATCCATATACAGCTGCAACTTTTCGTCTTTCTGTCTTTCTGATTCTCCGTTTTTCGGTGCATTTTTCGGCCTTTCTTTATGTATTGCATTCTTTCCCTTTCTGTCCCTCTCTGTCTCTTCCTCCAGTCTCAGCATATAGTTCTCCCGTCACAAAAAGGACTTCTTGAAGTGCGTGTCATGTGGGTAGCCATGGGACGCAGGTCAGCATGGTCGCATGGGTCAGCATGGGTCAGCATGGGTCAGCATGGGTCAGCATGGGTCAGCATGGGTCAGCATGGGTCAGCATGGGTCAGCCATCGCAGGCTTCACGTTGGCGGAGCCCGAACAGCTCTGTTCAATTGGCTTTTTGCCAAGTCACAAGGAGGTGAGATGATCTTGCGAGTCGAGGAGACATCGATGGCGATTCCATTTGTTTGCTTTTCTGCAGATTCCTCTGGGTTCATGATTGTATACTCAGTGTCGTTCAATGTCATTCATATATTTCGAACTATTTTGATGCGATCCTATTTGCCAGGACACTGATGTGGCACGCTCCACGAAGGAGTCAGAAGCTGCCATTCTGGAGGCAAAGTGTCAAGAAAGGACTTCAATCAGTGCGAGTTTGAACCTTTTGGATCCTTTTGGCAGATCACAAGATTTACGACAGATGGACAGTCTGAGAGCTTTAGTCACTTTAGCCTCTTCACTTTTGCCGACAGGGTCTGAAATGGTGTGGCATCACCTGGGACGAGGGTCCTGATATCGGTGGTGACCATGGGCCTTACCGCCAATCAGAACGCATTGAGGCCGCTGACACTAAAAAACAAACGCAGGACGATAGAAATTCAACTGCAACTCAAGTGGCCATATGACATGATTACAATCTATTACAATATGATTACAATGATTCGACATGATTAGACATGATTGGTTCGAAGATGTTTGAAATTTGAAGATGAGAGGCTGGCATCTACAAAGAGCAGCTTGAAAAGATGATTGCAAACGGGAACGCATACCGATGCTTCCTGTCGCCGGAGGCAGGATGTAAGTGTGTCGTGTTATCCATCTCTAGGTTCTATAGGTCCTATAGGTGAGACCATTTCAATTTCTGGAACGGCAATATATGACGGCAGTTTTTACATGGTGGTTGAGTTTTGGATGATTTGAGGAGCTGGATGAGATGAGGGCCGAGGCTGAAAGGAATGATCAGGCGTCCGAATCTGTCCCATGCAGTGATCATTTTCATTTTTACTCCACAAAACGTGACGCCGTGGCAACATGAACAGCGAACGTTGAGGCCTTCGTGGTGCAAAGTCCTTGGGCCAATGCATCAGAGGAAGAGGTGCAGGCAAGGCTTGTGGCATTGCAGCGAGGTTGATAGATTTGATAGGGTTTTGAAAGTTTTGAACCAATGTTTTCAGATGTTTTGAGATGTCTTCAGTCTCATTTTGGCTCTTTGTCGTGCTCCCGCAAAGAATCAATTCATGCTTCGCACCCGAAAATGGTTTTGCAGGCCATGATTGACCAGGGCAAGCCCTACGTCTACAGATTCAGGGTACCCTTTGATAGGCCGATCAAAAGAGCTCACATCATTCCACAGCATTGTAGCGTTGATGATGACCTCTGGCTGTGCCAGGGAGATTGTGGTTGATGACCTGGTTCTGGGGGAGGCTCATTGGCAGACCCCTTGCATCACCTCCCACTGTGCTGTTGTGTTGGCAGCTGTTGCTTCGCAGAAAGACGGGTTGTCAGACCAGCTTTCAATGTATATATTGGCGGGCAATTGTGTGCATATATACAAGGAGTCCAATAAGGACAATCTTAGACTTGCAAAACCCCACAACCCATCAATTCGAGTAGGAACTGTGACCGAAACATGTGGTGTAAGTTCTGCAGAGGTCATTTGGAATTCCGATGACCTTGGTGGAGACTTTGTCATAGTCCGCCAAAACGGTCCTGACCTTTGCTCGCAACCAGACCACCCAGAGCAAGTGCAGATTCGTGTAGTGAAAGCCGAGGCATGCCCATGTACAACTTCGGTGTTGTTGTGGATGACGCCTTCATGGGCATCACGCACGTTCTCAGGGCTCAGGATAGGAATACTGCGAACATATGAAAATTCATGAGACACATCATGAGAGAGAGAGAGCATTACACTCACTTTACCTGTAGGCTTAGGCAGCACGAGAGACATTATCAGATACATGGGTCAGAAGTAGTATTTTACGAGTGACCTGGAGCTGTTGTCAGTGTGAGTTCGTTACCGTGGTGTCGAGGGTATTTGTCCGCTGACTTTCCTGAAGGAGCATCTCATGAACACGCCTCGGCAAATTCTCATGTACGAAGCATTGGGCCTGAAGGTGCCGTTCCAGTGGTACAATGTTCAGCAGATGCCACAGTACTGCCATTGACCATTGGACCCCAGCACTTGAAGACAAAGCAACCATGTTCTGTATGGCTCGCATGAACAATTATCGAAGGTGTTTGTGTGTTATAGTGGAGCTTTGCGGGGCTGCAGTGGTGCACAATTCTTTTCAAACAGTCGGCCTTTCGGCAAGAGATCATGAACGAAAGCAGAATGATTGCACTGATTCAGGTGCCGACCTTTGCGCACATGCCCCTGATCTTGGCTCCGGACTTCTGCGCTCAATTCTTCTCGTTTCTTTCAAAAACTTACCTCGCTTGTGAAACCACTTGATTTTTTGGACTGCCCTGAGCATCCCTGAGCGCAGGATCGAACAAAGCTGTCCAAGCGACATGGAGCTGTCTCTGTTGGAGAGTTGGAGCCTCGAGTATGGAGCCGCAACGAGCTGCATTTCTTTCAAATCTCTTTCCTTTTTGGCCATTGCTTCAGAGGAATTGAAAGTAGCCATGGAAGTGAATCGCTTCGCGCACTTGAGGTATCAGAATCGTGGATACTTGGCATCTGGCATGGCCGGGTTCTCATTTGGAGTCCCTTTGAGTGATTCTTTCCTCTACTGATGCTCCTTGAGAGTATCGTTTTTCCATGACATATCGCAACCCAGGAGGTTCTTACTTCAAATGAGGAAGTTGTTTGTTATGCTGTTTCTGGAAGGTGTGGCGCTGCCTGGTGAAATTGTTGGGCAATGTTAGAGAAGGATGGAAGGGTTCTTTTTGTAGGTGGCCTGTATGAAGGTGATGGTTGGGCATTTGTGGGTGGTTGTCGATACTTTTTTTCCTAAAGGACTCTTCCATGTTTTCTCATTGAGGTCAACTACTTGGCACAGTTGGGATGGAATGATGGGACCAAGCAGGCACAAAGATGCCTGTCATGGACAAAGCAAGCACCATCTTTGATTTCTATTTACTGTACAAGTCTGTACATGTTTGGAGCCAGCGCAATCAGCACAATCAGCACATCTCCCACAGGAGATCTACACGATAGAGGAGTTGCTGGATGCTTTCAAGATGAATCGCATGAGCAAGGCCGCAGGGCCGCAGGGCCGCAGGGCGGCAGGGCCGGAGGGTGACAGGGCCGCAGGGCCGCAGGGCCGCAGGGCATATGCCAAACAAGGGTGAAGCACCGGGGACAGCAGCTAAAGGCACCGATGTCATTAGGGAACTCGCCAGTTTGCTGTCTTGGTTTCTGAGCTCAGTGCGCTCAGCATCTATGAGGTCACGAGAGTAAAGATTGCTGGTGCATACCACACAAACACACCATTTTTTCCTTTTACGGAAAGGTTATCTGACAATAGCTGATACTCATGTCTTGCCAGGTGGCCGCAATTTTCGACACTGACAAGTTCAAGTGGGTAAACGGCCACCACGTTCGCAGATTGAGTGATGAGGAGGTGCGGGAATTCTCGCCACACTGAATTCCAGGAAAGGACTGAATGGACCTTACATGGACCTCATAGATCAGACATGGATCGGACAAAGGTTTGTTGGAAGGCTAGTTACGGCTAGTTCAGGAGGCCGTGTACATGACATTCACGCCGGCTGTGAGGCACTTGCGATGATCGGGTCACAGTTGAAGGAGCATGGCATTGTCAAGGAGGCTGGAGTCTTCAGATATCTTCAGATATGGGTTTTCCATTGTTTTTCCACTAAACGGGTGAAACTGTCGCTTGACCCAAATCTCTGGATCTGTTTGACTGGTGTCTCAACCTCTATCGCTTTTCTGCCGCAGAAACCGAAATGCCTCAAGACTTCTTAGGTTTCTGGAGAGTTTGTGGCAAAAGCCTCGCAACTGCTGGAAGCCCCAAGAAGCTTTGCTTCTATCGGTGTGTTATTCCCGAATGCGTAGCAAGGGTTCCCGTTTCACTCTGGGGGTCTGGGGGTTGAGGGAGTGTTCGCTCGACGTTGCGCAACCGTTCGCAACCGTCCGCAACGGTTCGCAACCGGGCCGCATGGCCATGCCTATGGTAAGCTCTGCAAAAGGGGTCATTTTTGGAGGTTTGAAACCCTTTACACTTCACCTTCCACACTTTACATTCTACACTTTACATTCTACACTTTACACTCTACACTTTACACTCCACACTCTACACTCCACACTCTATCTACACTCCACACTCCACACTCCACACTTTACACTCCACACTGCACACTCTACACTTTACACTCCACACTCTACACTCCACACTCTATCTACACTCCACACTCCACACTCCACACTCCACACTTTGCGCTCCACCCTCTTTCGCATTCCACAGTCTACAGTGCACTGGTACGGTAACGTGGAAAAATGTACAAGACTGTTCAAATACCTTGTTTCACAAAAGTGTTCTATGTGACTGCATTCGGTTGCTCCTATGACACCAGAGCATTCACACTAAGGCTCCGGGAAAGGATTAGCACACTCACAGAGGCTGTGGAGGTATGGCGCTTTGTCAACGCCAAGTCGGGCCGCTTTTACAAAGCTGCCGAATTGACATTCGAAACCTTGGCAAGGAACTGAAATCAATGATGCACTTCGACCTCGAGGCCAGCAATCATGCTCATCTGGTGCATCTGGTGTGAACAGCCCCAAGATGTGTGCCACTTTTCTCAGAATTAGTGACTCCTTCACTGCATGACAGGAAATGCTGAAGACAGATGTGGCTCAGCCATACATTGAAGATGGTTCCATCAAGGAGACTGCAAAGCTGCTCCTAGATGCACAGGCTGGTGCTCTTGGACGACATTCCCATGGAAATTCTGGAGATTCGTGTCAAATGTTTCGCATTGCTGTCTGGTTAGGCCGAAGGGCAGTTCGATGCCATTGGCTCAGACCCGAAGGCGGAGATGCCATTCTTGACCTCACAGGAGTTGTTGCAAGTTTCCTTCTGAAATTCCATAGGTATCCATACCGGGTTCCGGTAGGTCATAGTGAGACATAGGTCTTGCCGGTCTTGCTTTGATCGTTGCAGTCCTTGTGACTGTCCAAGCATGGGAAGGCAATGCAACATGTTGCCAAGCAGATCGGAAAGGCTGGAGAAAACATGGTGCCAACATGATATAACCAGTGTCAGATGCGTCAGGATGCTTTGAGCATCTTTGAGCCTGTCTGGATATTCCTCTATCAAGCACAGAATTCCCGGTCTCCCGTCTTGTGACATTTAGTATTTGGTTTTCAGGCAAGAGGAGGTGTGAAGAAGAAGGCTCTCCTCGTCCCCTTGCGTCTGGATCTTTCGCAGAGCCAGAAGCAATGAGAGCACCTTCTTTTGCCCTTTTTGCCTTTTTTCCAGGCTTCTCATAGAGTCTCTCACTTGTCTCATTCCCCTTGCCGAACTTCCAAGGCCTGTGTTTGACTTCTCAGGCTGCAGGCAAGCACCTCAAACAATACGACAATATGATAAAGCAGCAAACAAGTTGCAGTCTCACGTAACTTGTCACATCTTTGTCACCAAGGTCCAGACATGAACCTTTTTTTTGAGATGTTGAAGGAAGTGGATGACAATGTTCTTTGCGAATGTGCAAGTGCCTTAGCATCGCTCAAAAGGCATTCCGTACAAGGTCCTTCTGTCAAGATTGAAGTGCATATGCAGGTCTCGCTTGAAAAGAGATTAGAAATGCTGAAAGAAAAGCAGCGACCTCAGAGAAAAAAGACTTTGCGCGTCTGCATCGCATGCATTTTGCAAGCGAAACTCTTAGGTTTTTAGAGCAGCCGGTGCACGCCAGTTTCTATCTTAGTGAGAGCGGCTGACAGGTTAGAGGTTAGATTCATCTGTCATGTTTAGTCTGCTAATGAGCTGGATGAGAGGGCTTTGACTTCAAACTTCAAGCCTGTGCACAGATTGATTCATACTGGGTCACTGGGTCACGCATTCACGTGCCGGAGCCGAGGCTGACGTTGTGTTGCGACGTGAAAAGAGACCAAGCCTGCTTTCCACTACACATCGATGCATCATTGAGGATCAAACTCACTGCCACCGCAGAGGATCATGCATGAGCAGCTCAACCATGCTCAACCTATTGTTAGTATTTGTAATTGTATTTGTTAGTCTTGTAGGTGGTGTTTGTTTTTGGAGAACTGCTGTGAGTTTCTGGACAGATTCGTGTTGCCGCAGCTCAAACTTTCGCAGAAGTGACCATGGAGATATGAAGCTTGCGCACGGCGTATGAGTTCAATGATCCAACGTTTGAAGCTTGTTTCGAACTCTGCACGTACAGTATACTGTAACTGCATACACATTGGAAAATAATTAGTAAAGTTCATACCTTTTGTCGGAGCGAATCTCTAACAGGATCAAAACTCAAGATCTCGATTCAAGCTTTGCGGCTGTGCTGGTGTCTGAATGGCATCATGGAAACTCTAAGCACTGATCCTAGCTTAGAGCCAAACCTCAAGAACAGCCGGAGGCACATTACAACATGTTTGGAGTTGTTTCCAACGAAACGCAAGGCTGCCTCTCCTGCACAGTTCTTGATTGAAGTCGCTTGAGTATACAACATGGATGCATCAAATAGAACCACCGAAGTGTCTTCCAGCCAATCGAGGCAAGAGTATCCGTTATGGCTGTTGCAGATGCTAAGGCCCAGGGATGTGCCGGTTTCAGCATGTGTCAACCAGGATTAGATGACTTAGCCATGTTTGGAATTGGTAGGCCTGCCCTTCCAGCAGATGGGCCTGGCCCTGAGACCTCCCTGAAGCATCTGAAGCTCTCAGCTTGGAATGTGGGTGTCGCGTCGCGGCTGTGGGAAAGGCTGGACATTGCAAAAGTCTACCTGGCCACATGGAACTCTCACCAGGGCGACTTGACCAGGTGCGGGTAGATTCATGTGACATGCGCATTCACTAGACTTTTGCGACAGTGAGATGGACGTGACGAACATGACAAGTCAACAGCTTCTGCCAGGACTGAAGCAAGCAATGGCAGCAATGCTAAGGACAAAGATTTCCATTGCCAAGAGGCTCCCTGGAAGATCTGGAACTGTGTTCGTTGCGTTCGTTGGGTCTGGTTCGAGTCTCCGACATCTGAATCTACTTCCATGTTGTTGCCCAGGTCTTGCGACAACAGGCTGAGCGTTGAGTTCCAAGATAGACGAAGGATGTGTGATATATTCTGTCCGGGAGTGAGGCATACATTATTTTAATCAATCTATTTTAAAATAAATTTTATAACATCTTCAAAATTTGCTGTGCATTTTGTCATTCAGCTACATCTCTTGAAACATTGCACTGCAATTTGTAGTGGGTTTCAAGTGATCTGTGTGGCAACTGACCATGGTCCATGCACCTTGAAATGGAACTCCTTGAACTGCTTAGGCTTCACCAACTTTGTCTCAACTGGGAACCGCCTCTTCGCCTGATCCTCATGCTGTGGAGTGGAGCCTGAGAGAGAGAGATCCTTAGTGCAATGTCCTTTTGCGTTTTTGGATTCTGGAAATTCATACCCACTTCACTATGAACGTGCTGAACCCTTGTGCAGATTGTTGCGGAAGCTGAACGCCAGCCTGATCCTCATGATGCGTCCGCGGGTAGCATGTCCTTGCTCAAGTTGTTTACCTAGCGTAGTTGACATGGGAACATGCCCGGAAGCTCCGAGACTGTCTGCGAGGAATGCTGATCGACAGTTGTGTGCTTTCATCAGCTATGGGAGCACATCTCAGCGAAGAGCTGCACAATGCTACACCAACATCTTAGACATCTGCAGGGTCTGTCTGTGCATCAGCCACCGAGGCGAAGCTACACCCGAGAGGGCTTCGGGGAGGCAGGACCTGGCGATGGAAGGTCCTGGAAGATCCTTGGATGATCTTGGAGGATCATTGGACGATCTGGGATGCTTTTCACGGCAGGTCATGCAGCTCTTCGTCCATCCAGACTTTCAGCGAAAGGGCTTGGGGTCGAAACTGCTGAGAGAAGCGCAGCATCCTTGGTTCTGAAATTCGAACCGGGTTCTAAAACATGCCAAAACATTCCCAAACCAGCTGCTGTCAAAGCCTAAAACTGCACGATTATTTATCACTTTTCATGAAAATCATTGCACACGTAAATGGGACTGACGTTTTCATTCGAGCAGATGGACAAAAGAGAGATCACAAGAAAGCTGTGTGATGTTCAGATGGACGCAAATGAAGAGCAGAGACTGGTCGGCACAAGGATGCCATGTTTGGCCTGACACTCAGGCGTATCGAAAGCACAGCACCAGACATTGGAAAATAGGCTCCATATGCAGGTAAAACATCAGATTTCCCAACTGTTGGGAAAATAGGCTCCATATTCAGGTAAAACATCTGATTTCTCAACTGTTGGGAAAATAGGCTCCATATGCAGGTAAAACATCAGATTTCCCAACTGTTGGGAAAATAGGCCCCATATTCAGGTAAAGCATCAGATTTCTCAACTGTTGGGAAAATAGGCTCCACATGCAGGTAAAACATCAGATTTCCCAACTGTTGGGAAATAGGCTCCATATTCAGGTAAAACATCAGATTTCTCAACTGTTGGGAAAATAGGCTCCATATGCAGGTAAAGCATCAGATTTCCCAACTGTTGGGAAAATAGGCTCCACATGCAGGTAGAACATCAGATTTCCCAACTGTTGGGAAAATAGGCTCCATATTCAGGTAAAGCATCAGATTTCCCAACTGTTGGGAAAATAGGCTCCATATACAGGTAAAACATCAGATTTCCCAACTGTTGGGAAAATAGGCCCCACATGCAGGTAAAACATCAGATTTCCCAACTGTTGGAAAAATAGGCTCCATATTCAGGTAAAGCATCAGAGTTCCTAACTGTTGGGAAAATAGGCTCCACATGCAGGTAGAGCATCAGATTTCCCAACTGTTGAGAAAATAGGCTCCATATTCAGTTAAAGCATCAGATTTCCCAACTGTTGGGAAAATAGGCTCCATATACAGGTAAAGCATCAGATTTCCCAACTGTTGGGAAAACAGGCTCCATATTCAGGTAAAGCATCAGAGTTCCTAACTGTTGGGAAAATAGGCTCCACATGCAGGTAAAACATCAGATTTCCCAACTGTTGGGAAAATAGGCTCCATATTCAGGTAAAGCATCAGATTTCCCAACTGTTGGGAAAATAGGCTCCATATACAGGTAAAGCATCAGATTTCCCAACTGTTGGGAAAATAGGCTCCATATACAGGTAAAGCATCCGATTTCCCATCTTCTCCTTTGTCACACTACATCAGATGCATAGCATGTGCGGGAGACAAGCTTTAAGCAGCATGGGACGCAACACAGAGCGTCCAAAACTGAACAGGACAAGATTCAGTGGAATAGAAGACAAGTGAAGAATAGGAAGATGATGGAAGATGTTAAGATAGACAGCTCGATCCATCCGTAGTTGGATTGATAGGTACACCAGACAGGTGAAAAACAGAGACAGCATTACGTAGACGCGTAGTAGACACGTACAGTAGTAGACATTAACAGACCAGTAGATCTCAGGCAAGCAGCTAGGCAAGGATAAACAGGCAGGAGGCAGATGGACAGGGCATCTGACGGATTGCGAGATAGGCAAAAGACGCAAAAGAGTGGTGTAATGAGTGTAATGTGGTGTACAAAAATTCACAGCAGATCATGGCAGATCCTGGCAGCATACCACAGTACGCTGAGTCAAAGACACATACAGCGTGTTCTGCGCATTGTGCTGCGCAAACCATGACGTAAGGTGCACCAAGGGGAATCCAGCCAATCGAGTCTACGAGCAGGCTAGGCCGCAAAGAAAGGTGATGAGGCTCTTTGAATTGTGAATGTTGTCAGGTTGGCTGGTTCCGAACGGGGAAGCAGAAAAGTGAGTTGCTTACATGAGATTTTGCGATCAGTTTGAAATTCAGCCCCGGATTGTGTCAGCTGTCCCATCTCGCTTTTTGCCTTCCTACAAGATCCAGAGCAGCATCCAAGATTTCACTGTTGAGGTCTGAACCCGACATTGAGCAAAGAGCCGGTCGCACTGGGCTGAGGGCAAAGAGCCTCTGCCAATTCAAACCCAACCTAAGTACTTATTATACGTACTGGTATTTATATATACATAGTTATACATATATAAATTTTATTGTATAAGTATTCAAAATCTCAAAGGTGCTCAGAGTCATTCCGAGTCCTAGGCCCAGGCGAAAGACCGTCCATGGCTTTAAATCCTTTCAAGCTGTTCCCCTCTTCCCCTAGCCCGCATTTCTTGGATGGTACCATTGGTACCTATCGAAATGCAGCTCTGAGGAAGTGGAAGAATACTTGGCTCCGAAAGAAACGAGGCGTGGCGTGGCGTGGAAGCTATGCCGTCCTTCACTTTGGCTTCGCGATGTCCAGGCTATTGGACTTACTTCGAGTTACAGCCTCAAATCCATACAAGCATTTTATACATTTTTATATTCGCTGTATTAATTTTTGAAGGGTACAGCCTGAACGGCAGATGCCGGTCATTTCACGCTCTGGATTTGCAGCGAAGGTCAAACTTTCTAGTTGTTGCGTGCACCTAAGACTTTTTGGCATGCCGTGTTAGGAACCTGTATGGACTTCTCAGTATAACATGTCAAGCAGTCATTTGTTTCTTGATCAGCGTTTACTTTAGTTTTCTGTGCCCAAGGTGGCTGGATGTGACAATGCTCACGTGATTGATGCGATTTGATGCTCGTATGCCGCGGCGTCCTCTGGGTGTACAAGCCAGAAGCTGACTCGGCTGCGCCCCAGGATGTATGGTGAATTGTGAAAGGTGAGCCGGCGAGGAGATGCGCGAAAATGGATGAACATTGCCATGTTCTTTTGAATAATGATTGAATTATGTAGTGAAACAGGAAGAAATTGAAGAAACTGCCAGAGCTGTCACCACTCGGGTGCCAAGACTTCATGGGGCCGCATATCGGCAGGGTTGGACTTGTTGCAAACCGGAGGCATTTTGCTATCGAGTACGCTGGCATCATGTAGCCGACAAAGAGAACAGCACCTATCAGTTCATGGTGTTCGCTGGATTGTAGAAGCATTGCAAGTGCGTCAGAATCACATTCTTGATCCCTGAACGCCACCAACATTTTTTTTTAGCAGCTGTTTTCTTCCTGCAATACTCGTACCCTGCACGAGTTTTTGCGTGATTGCTAAGACCAAGACCTGAGATATATAGCCTGATAGCCTGTTGACATGTTCCCAAAGAGGCACTAATTTGTCAGACGTCAAGCGCACAACAAATTGACACTTGTGGCTTTCGAGCACATTGCTGCCCTGCACATGTTATGTTGTTATCTTTGGCCAGAGCTTAGAGGGTTGAGGCTTGGGGTTGGCACTTGGGGGACAGAAGACACACCATTTCCTAACGCATGCGGCGCATATGTTTCAGGAGATGCTCAACGCACCTGGGAGCACTGGCGACATATCGCTTCTTGTCCAGAGAAGTGAACAAAGGCTACCTTCCCGGGTAAACCTTCAGGAACATCGGTGCCAATCTCAAGGCGAGGCTGGGATTTGTGTCGTGTGTGCGATGCCACAGGAAGGAAGGTTCGCCCCTTTCGTTTGCGTGGCTACTTGTGAACGAATGCCATTCTAGTAGATACCAAAGTTTTGGCGTTTTTCTCTTCATTTTGTCGGGGGGATCCGGGTTTTGGTGGTTCCAACATTCAGTAGTTTTGCAGATATATCACACGTCTACTTGCTTGAACTTGACTTCAAAAGGGATCACTGAAACTCCCTTTTGAGCCTACTTCCCAGGTATACACAGTAATTTAAATGTTGAATCAAATCGATTAACGAAGGGATCGATTGGAAGCACCATTAGAATATTTTACGGGTGGCCAAAACGTTTGCACTCCCAGAATCTCCGAAAGATTTGCCGCAAAACCCACAGACCTCGAGAACTGTGTTCTCTTCAAACATGCAAGAGCAGGCATTGTCAAAGGTCTCGTAGTACTACTGCAGGGGCCGATAAACAGAAAAATTAGCGGAACGATTTCTTAAATGCCCTCTTGGCAAACCTCCCTGCTGGTAAGAGAAAGTTGTTTCTTTCAGACGTGCTGGAAGGTCTTGAGTTTGCTGCCAGCTTAATTGTTCCAATCTGCTCCAGCCTTACTTGATGGCTGCCAGGGCCAAAAACTGTCTCAGCATCGGCACACAACCTGTCATGTTCGCTGCACCACTCAAGGTGCAACTGTTCCCTATTGGACTACCTCTCGGAGGAGAAGCCTACTGAGAGAAGTTGAATGCTGAGCAATTTTTTACTCAGCAGCATGGCCACTCACATGATCTCACATGTGGCATGTGTTTGTAAGGCAAAAAGGGCTGGTTTATTCAGAACAGCATGTTCTGCAGGCGGCCTTAGAAGTGACTACGAGACTTTTCATAGATGAATATGAGAAAACTCGATGAATCGTGCAGGAACCAATTCTGCAACTTCAAAGAGGTGCTTTGTGCAGGTTTTAGATTGATGATCGGTGATTGATCAGTGATCACACTTGTTTTCACTTGCGGCTTACTTGTGCTATCGCTTTTCGACTTGGATTCCGAAGCCAATCTCACTTCAAAAGCTAGGCTTGGTTATTCGCAGCTTCATGATGAAGACGAGGCCCTGGAGGGCGTGAGCTGTTTTGCGACCAACGAAAAATTGTGGCGTGAGCTGTTTTGTCGACAGGATGAGGGCCCAGCTACTACCGTTCTGGATTTCAGCAACACAGAAGAGCGCCTCAAAAACATCAAGGATTGGTTGGATCTTAAAGGGATACGGATGGCAATGGTATGCGTAGGCGTAGACCATCGTAGAATATCGTAGACCTTTGCAATGTAACACAGCAATACGTATTGAATACCGCAAGAATACCATAAGAAGGGTCTATATATAAAAGGGTCTCCATGTCATGTTTTGCCAGAGCAGGATGTTACCCGCACGCCCGTAACTCTTCTCAGCGGCTTTCTTGGATCAGGCCTTGAAATTGCTGACAAGATGGGAGTCGTATCAAACTTCTGCCCGATTTCCAGTGGAATTTCCAGGCAAAACTTCCTTGTTGAAACACATCCTGGAGAATCAGGAGGGTGTGCGCGCGAAACTCAAGTGGCTAATCGATGCTGATCGCTACAAATATGTACTGCAGTCTAAGTGTTCTCAATAGTACACGCATGCAAGGCATCGAACCTTGCCAACAAAGTCTTACAAATCGTATTGTATAACTTTTAACTTGTGACAGTCAACAGCCATGGCCAACATTTGATTGCAAAAATGTCCAATGAAAAAACGACTCACAGTCAGTTTTTCTCCACGGACAAATGGACCAAGGGCTGGGAGTTGTTGTGAATGATGTAGCAGCTGTCAACATCGACGCCCAGTTGATCCAAAGGCAGGTGTGGCTGGAGCTTCTCGATACTGACACAGTCTTTGTTTGGAGAGGTATGAACGCAGTGGTACAATCGAAATTGCGGAGCTTGCAAATGGCTGTGAGCGAACCTTAGCTTCCAAGAATGCACGCGTTTTTTGAATCAGAAATAGAATGAAATGGAACCAGAGACTTAGACTTGTTGAAACCGCAGAGGTACTGGCAAGATTCTTTGGTTGCTTTGCGCGTCCCAGGTTTGCTGCACCGCATCAGATGATTTGGTCGCCTCAGTCCAAGAGCTGGTGAACAGAGCTTACACAAGGCAAGCGTTTGGTTGATAGCCAAGTTGAGTGTGCTGAGCATTGGCTTTGTATTGACTGGGATGGAATAGGAACACCATTCCAAGTCACTGAAGTCCAGAAAACGAGAAATGTCAGGAGAAAAGTAGAAAGTCAGTGCAGAAAGTCAATGAAAAAGTCGTGCAGAGAGGCCTTTTCACCATGTCGTTATTGAACTCAGTGGAGTCGGCGAGTCCGAGCCTCAGAGCCTCAGAGCCTTCAGAGGCAGCCGCGCAGAAACTGACAAGGCCAGATGCCATCAAGCGACACTGGGACATTGGAGTCGAAGTGGGTGAACTGCTCAGTCATGACAATATATGACAATCAGAAAAATACTGCATACCACATTTCACTCTATATCTCACTTGTTTATACTTGTTTATACTTGCTTATCCTTCTTGAATGACTGGCACAGAGGAGCAGCCACTTTCACAGCCGTTCCTTCTATTTCTTTGTTCTAAGGAATGCCAGCGACCCTCATGACGGAAATCAAGCGCACGATTGCCGTCGTGGATTCGAGCTTGTTCGGCAATGACTGGATCGACAGCCGCAAGGACTGGTGGCTGAGATGCGACGTCGTGAAATGTGTTGACAGACACACGCAGACGCCTACAGGCAACCGCGAGAAACGAAGAGGGGTCACAGCATTCCGGTCTGATTCTGAGACACTATGTACGCAGAACATCGCAGAACATTGGTTTCACAATGTTCTACACATCTTTGAATTGAAGCTCCTTGGTTTGTTGAGGTCTGGAAACCGTGGGTCAGTTGCTGGCAGAACAGGTTGAAAGAGCGGATCTGGTGTGCAGGACTTAGGTCATGGTTCCACCAGTTTCTTCTGCGCTTAACTTTGCCATTTGCTTGGCTTCTTGGTATTGCGAAGCTCTTTTCAGTCCAAGAGCACCATGTTTTGTCGAGACATTAAGTCACTAGCCACACAAGCTATCAATATTGTACCAATCCAAAGACTCGTTGAGTTTGAAATGTCAGACTGATGAACAAGACCGACCTGGCCACCAAAGAAGAACTGAAGACGACAGAGGAGGCCTGAAAGTTGGGATCCAACTTGGATCATCCAAGCGTTCTTTGCAGATTTTGCAGGTGCATATGGTGCATCATAGTGCATCCAATTCTTGTTCTTTGGGATCCACTTTGGCTGCAGCTTCCGCAGGTTCTGAAGGCATTGAATCCAGACGCCGAATTGATTCGATGCACATACGGCAAGGCCTGGCAAAGTTGCCCCATTTCTTCCTTTGCTCCCTGTGCTGATGCATCATGTCACACTGGCTTTGTTGATGCTCTCATTCGCTTATTTTGAGGTCAGTCCGATAGAGCTTCTTCCAGAGATTCCTCACGGACTCAAATATCCCGAATTTGGCAAAGGCTAGGCGGCTTAGGCGGCTAGGGCTTTCGACATTTCAAGATCCTGCATATATATATATATACATATCATATATGATATATTGATAATTATATATATGCATAAAATTTATACCATATATATATATTTATAATTATATAATATATAAATAATAAGTGTATATATATATATTATATAAATAATAAGTGTATATATATATATAAATATATACATACAATTCTATATAATATATATATATATATGGTCAGCGCCCCCCCCACGACCCGCAACTTCACATATAACATAGGGGTGCTGTCCGGGCGGATATTATCCTATCCTCTTACTATACAACATCACGAAACCACGCAAAATACATCATAAAATGCACTTCTGGCTCCAGATCATCAACATGTTGACTTCAGAACGACACAAAGAACCGCATGCTACGCTGGATCACGATTGAGATCAACAAGCCGGACTCTCCGATCTACAAGTGGCATTCGGTTCTGGTCGAGAAGTCTCTTCGCAACTTGGCTGCTGATGGTGTGCTCGCACAAGTCCACGAGCATTGGCCTCTCACTTTGTATGACCTTGATGTGCGCTTCCTCAAAGCCCTTGCTCCTCTCATGCCTAGCCTTCAGGAAAAAACTCTTGGTTTCCATGGTGAACCTTGAGCTGGAAAGACGCCAGTTGCACGAAATATTGCAATGGCCATGTCCCGACATTGGATCAGAAAAGCACACAAAGAGTCCGAAGTCACACCATCCTTCTGGCAGGCATCGGAATTCGATTTCTTCAGAGGCCAAAGTGGGTCGATCTTCCGCCCTGACATTTTCGATGATGGCACATTCTGCGAGCAGCAATTCAAGAAGATCAAGGCATTCACCGATGTTGGCAATGTAGAAAGCATGTCAAAGGAACGCTGGGGAGCTGCAAAATGGGTCAAGGGTCAGTTGCAAATCTATTGCGTGAACGACTTCGATGCAATCCAGGAGCCCAAGGACGACGTGCCAGTTCTTGTCAAAAAGGCCGGTCACCATAGCTACGTCTCACATGATTCTTTTATGAAAATGCTTGACGTTGCTTGGTTTGCCAAAGAAGCAAACCCAAGTAACATCATGGCAGTGTTGAAGCGCACGCATCTTTGCATCAACACAAAAACCTTTCTCTATGTCAGGCCTGCCAGTGAAAGCCCAGGACCTGTGATGCGACTGCCTCTGGATGACAAAACAGATCTCTTGCACTTCGAGTCCCGTGCCCTCTATGACTTCTACCGCAAAGGTGGAGTTGACCTACCTCGAGATTTCCAGCAAAAGGTGGAGTGGGAGATGCCTACCTGTCTGAAATTGCTAACCTACCCCGTAGCCAGAGTTTGCTCACGCCACTCAGCCTCCGCTCAAAAGCTGCACTGTCTGACGGGACTCGCACTCCGGAGTCGGACTTCGAGTACGACTCACAATTCTGGGAGCGCTTTGGAGCAATTAACAATTCTACACTTTTGTTTCCCCTTTCCATTTCGAATCTGGATTTGCATTCGATAGTGCTGCGTGCATCCCGTTGCTTCTTGTCGTAAGGTCTCTTTGGGCATTTCCTACACCCCGCGATCCGTCGTCGCAGCCGCCTGAAATGTTTGAGCGGGGGCGTGAGCGTTCGCGCAGTCCTTTGCGTGTGCAACCTGGCACCCCTCCCCCTACCCGTCCGGATGTCTCACCCCATAACCAAGTTTTGGTGCCCATGACACCACCCGAGTAATTCGGCCCATCGCCAGGCACACCAGAAAGCCAATAGCAACCAATATCAATATGTGTCGGAAAAATGATAATATTAAATAACAACACTGTCAATACAACGTCAATACAGTTGTGTTGCTCTCTATTCTGTAAGACAATTTGTCTTTCTGGTTTTTTTGTCATGGCACCTGCAGCACTTGCATCTTAAGACCTTGGCCCTTACTCCCAGAGACAGCAAAAAACCCCAAATTGCGGGTCATGGGAGGGGCGGTGAGCATATATATATATATATATATTTATTTATTTATTTATTTGTTTACATTCTACATACATATCCCTCGGGGCGGACGAGTTTTATTGGGGGTTTAGTTACGTTGTGGTTTGTTCAGGATTATTTAAGATAGGTTTCGGGCTTGCTTAGGGTTTTAGATTTTTTTGGGGTTTGTTGAAGGGTTTATTTGGGGTTTGTTTAGTTAATTCGTGTTATTTTTGAAAAGGGTTAGCTCACGGTTGTTTTAGGGTATATTTACTGTAGGGTTGTTTATGGTTTAATTTCAAGGGTTGGTTTAGGTTTTGTCTAGGGTTTATTTAGGGTTAGGTTGTTTTGGTGTTCTTTCAAAGTCTTGCGGTTTGTTGAGGTTTCAGTTAACGGCGCGAAACACTGCAAATTATGGAGGATATCTTTAAGATACGCTTCAAAAGGTGATTTTGGCACCGTCTTAGGTAAGCGCAAAAGTGCCATGAGAAGCAGGTCATATTAATATCAATATTTTGCATGCTTGCAGTGTGCGAAAAACACGCACAGAAACAACAGCAGATTGCAGTCTCGCATGGAGTTCCGGGCAAACGTCAGCCCCCTAGCGACATATATATATATAATATAATATAATACAATATAATATAATATGATATAACATAATATAATATAATATAATATAATATATAATATAATATAATACAATATAATACAATATAATATAATATAATACAATATAATATAATATAATTTAATACAATATAATATAATATAATATGAAATACTATAATATAATATAATATAATATGATATGATATGATATAATATGATATACATTATATATATATATTTCTAATACATACATGCATGCATGTATATATATATATTTTTTTCTCGATCAATTGAGGCAAACTGAATCAGACTTGTCCGTGGCAGGAAGGAACTTTCGCTGGGCTCAAAATCCTCATGTTCTGCAGATCCGCGTCAAGGCCAATCCCTCATCTTGCTCGGAAGGAACTGCAAGTAATTACGGGTTTGAACAGTTGAAACTAGCAAAATGAATCCAGGTTCTTGACAGAAGGACTCTTGTTCTTCCTGGAAGTTTGCTTGTTCGGCCAATGATGCTGTACAACATAACTCTGACTGTCTGCTGTAGTAGGTGCCCGCTTCTACGAAGTCCAAAGACATCAACTTCGACATTGGCCGCACCTGGTTGCAGATTTGGGCTTGAAGTCTCAGCTGACTCCACTGGTGGTGACAGTAAGACTTCAGTAATGCTCCTCGCCCGGTCACGAAACCATAGCTGGATAGCTGTAGGATCCTGCAGGTCAAGGGCGAACCTGTGCCTAGACTCCAAGGGAAGCTCTTTGGACGCTTGAAGGTGTCACCAAGAGCTGCAGTGCGTGTGAGGACATTGAATCAAATAGAGTCAATAGAGTCAATAGAGTATTGTAATAGGTAATTTGAATTGCTTTGTATTACTTTGTACTATTGTGAAGCACTACAAAGGTTCTTCCTATTGAAATTGCTGTGCCCAACGCCGTGGCAGGGCATTGAGGAATGGCTTTGGGAGTTGGATGGAGAAGGTCCCTTGGATGACAGACTTGACATGGCTTGACATGCCTTGACCCCAAGTTGCCACGCAACCGCATCCAGGTGATGATCGGCATGTTGCAGTTTTTCTGGAGAAGACAGAAGAGGCAGAGTATGCTGCAGATCAGTATTGTCTCTAGAGGAACCAGCTGGAGATGGGTCACGGGACAGGTGAAAGGAGGGGTCATTGCTTCTGTTGCTTCTTGTTTGAAGCTTGCAGACGAGTGCGTGCAGGGCATGTGGGAAGACCTTTGGGAGAAACAGTGCCCAGGTCAGCCATTGTCGAAGTCTCAGATTGACAGACGGTCACACTTCTCAGTTTTGTCCAGTGCAAGACACATTGAAGGCAAAATGGCAGATCCTAAGTTTGACAATGAGTAGTCAACACCATCAATGCACATCAATGCACATCAATGCCATCAATGCTTTAGGGCTTGGTTTTGGAGGACAGAACATGAACCTGCTGCTGCAGAAGCTGAAGCTGCAGAGGCTGCAGAAGCTGCAGCTGACGCAGGCTTTCCGGGGCTTTTCCGGGCCTTGCCAGCCTAGTCCACGGTGTCCAGAGCGTGTCCACTTTTGCCGAGCTGACAATTTCTACTTGCTTTCGCTGAAAGGTGCACGTCCTCGTTTTCTGGTGATTTTTGTTGTTTGCTTTCAGTTGGAAAGGTGCAATTTCCTGCACCCCCTGCGCTCCAAGTATTTTCCAAAGGCGCACTCTTACTTTGTGCACCTTATGCATAGCCCTTCGTTTTGAGGATTTCCCTAGAATTAGTGCAGCAGTGTTTGGACTTGACGCAAGGTCCAGACGCAACAAAGCAGCAAGCAGAAGATTTGGTTGGGCCCTGGATTCTATAGATTTCAATATCAACTTGACAGCCTGAGACTTGGACAATCAACAAGGAATGCCCCTGAGGTATCAGAACTTTCACCTACGAACGTCGAAGGCCTTTCAATGCTGTGCGACTGCAAAGGCAGGGTGCCGTGCAAGTGGCGTAGTGTTGGCCATTATCCCTGACAATGCGGTCAATTTCTGTCAGTTTCGGAGGCTCATTGAAGAGTGGCCGTTGCCCAAAAAAAACAAGAAGACTTTCAGCCTCACAGACTTGGAGTCTAGCACAGAGGCATCGTTACTCTTGCTCCTGAAGAGCTTTGCGATTTTCAAAGGAATGAGATTCTTGAGCTGTTTTGCAGTGATAGAATCTGATCCAAGTGCTGCCAGTGATATCTAGATGAACATGAACGCACGCATTGCGCAATCTGCAGAGATGATTGCAAGACGTATCTCAGATACCAATGAAGCGCCACACTTTCTTTGTTTTGTCATTCAACACTTGTCATATTCTACAACTACGCTTTTTTAAAATCTACAATTAATTACATTCTTTGTTTCCGAACAACCTATGTGAGCTAGGCAGAGGCATCTGACATCAGAGCTGTTCGGGCCCTAGGATGTCCATCCGATCCTTTTTTTAACGATTGCGTCTCTTCCCTATGGCCTCTACTTGACATTTGCTCCTGATAAAACATACCAATGAATACAATATGAATACATAGCATATCAACATATCCTATCTCCTCATCCTTTGCATGGGAGTACCAAAATTATCAGAGCGCTGCAGACTCCATGGCACAAAGTTGGCCCAAGGCATTTAAGCCGATTCTCCGCTCCAAAGGATTCTGCTGGGTGGACTCGGAGCCCTTTCGTGCCGGGCCACCCGGTGATGTGGACTCTGGATGACAAGCTGTGATCAGCATGTGATGAGAATGTCATGAGCGTAAGATAGGCATGCATGAACCTAAGACAGCCCTGCAGACTTAAGGTGAACGAATGGTCGCACGCTGGCAGATCGCTGTCTGTTTTGCCTGAGGCGGCCCTCGGGCCAAGTGGTCCCAGAAATATAACAAGTTGAGTGTGATCCGCGAAGGATTGGTGGTGGTCTGTCCTGAAACCTGACCAGCTGAATTTTCAGATTTGCCAGTGCCTAAGGGCATTGATTCCAGACAATTTGATGAAAAGTCTTCAAGTTGGTGAGGCACCTTGATTCAAGAAGTGCACCGAGGTTATCCTGGTGCAAAAGGTAACTTTGAAAGGGTTCGTCGCGACAAGTGGCAGGCCTGTTTATGAGATGACTCTAGTTGAAGAATTCTGTCATCTTGTGAATGTTATCAAGCACTTGAACCAGGAACCTTGGGGCGATAGAAGACAAGAGATCGTCTTCATCGGTGGTCCATGCATGCGAGAACGCGACATCACCAGGCTGGACTCTTGTCGTTTGGAACTGCCCGCTCCGCTACGTTTGTGATGAAACTGTTGACCCCATTTACCTTCCAGGATTTTGGATGACTGCTTGCTGAGCGACTCAGAGTTGGAAGAGTTTCGTCAAAGTGCCTTGCTGCAAGCAAAGCGAGAGAGAGAGAGAGAGAGAGAAAAAAAAACAAGGTTGCTTTTCGAATATTTTTGATGTTTTTCCCCTTTTTGTTTGTTTGCTCTTTTTGTGCTGTAATTGGTTGCGTTTTTTTTGGTACAGGTACGCTAGACACACATCCGCCAGACACATATTTCGGCATTGAAGTTGAGCCCTCAGCACCAGACCAGTTCCGGATGGGAAACCAGGTGAGGTGTTTCCCGTCTGTGCACAGCGATGTTGGAACGTCCACGTCAGGGTTTGCTGCGCCAAATGGGTGAAGACCCTGAGACATTTGGCAGAGGACCAGACAAAAACATCAAGCCATAGTATGCCATAGCATCCATACGGTGGCAAGTTTCAAGAGTCCCGCTGCAGGAAACGCAGGTGATGAGGACACAATAGATGTACCTTGCCAAAATTGATGTGCCATGCTAGCAGTGTCCAAAAGCCTCTAAAGACTCCTCATCTTGTGCACAATGATTTCAAGTCTTTTTGGCAAAAGATTGGACCAGGTATCTCCTCATGCAGAAGACGTCCAAAAAGACTCTTGACCTTGCTGCAATAGAATGAAAATGTGCTGCTACGAGATGCCATTGAAGCAATTCACGTGCGAGTTTGGCCGCAGCGTAGTGGTGGTGCAGAGAAAAGACCTGAAAAACAAGTTATATCTACATTCTACATTCTACATTCTACATTCTACACTCTATCTCTATCTCTATCTCTATCTATCTATCTCTATCTATCTATCTATCTCTATCTATCTATCTATCTCTATCTATCTATCTATCTCTATCTATCTCTATCTATCTATCTCTATCTATCTATCTATCTATCTATATCTCTCTATCTATCTATCTCATCCTATCTATCTCATCCTATCTATCTAATCCTATCGATCTATAATCCTATCGATCTATAATCCTATCGATCTATAATCCTATCGATCTATAATCCTATCGATCTATAATCCTATCGATCTATAATCCTATCGATCTATAATCCTATCTATCTATCTATCTATCTATCTATCTATAATCCTATCTATCTATCTATAATCCTATCTATCTATCTATAATCCTATCTATCTATCTATAATCCTATCTATCTATCTATAATCCTATCTATCTATCTATCTATCTATCT